GACAGAAATAGTTCAGAGAATTGTACGAACTAGATGGATTCCTATGCAGCAGAAGAGAACTTTTGCTCAATACTTTTCGTAAGCATTTCTTTCCAGCCTATTTTAGACCAATAAATTTATATTGTAGCACAAATGGGTCGGCTCGACCGGGGAAGGACCACGCCTTCACAGAATACAAGCGTCAAATAGTAGCTTAATGCTGCTGTATTTCGTATGGTGAGTGTAGAGAACCGGATACCCTTTTTACTGGAAACGAGGCACTCCTTCTTAGTCCTCACGGGTGACAACGCATCTGCATTTTGATTTGTAATCGAGGATAGATGTAGATGTCTATGGGCCGCAGCAACCACTTACCATCATCAAACGAGCACACAGATGGTGGACTGTGTGCTCGTTTGTCACCCTATCCTATAAAAAAAAAACAGTGAAATCTAGCTAACACGAAGCTCGTTAAGATGTAATTCTCAGTAAGTCGAAAAAATTGCTATTCCCTTCCGGTGATCTCCTAAATACGCGGTGTCTCAAATTGTTTAGACTTTGTAACTCGAATAAAATGTTATTTCCTTGGGAGGTGTTGATAGTACATATTTATACTCTATAAATCGAATTTGAAAAAGTAAAAATTGGTTGGTTTTTAAAGTCGCAGGGAGTCGCAGGTAAAGTCTAGTTCAACTTTAAAAATACAGGCAAACGAAGCCGCAGGCAAAATCTAGTTGTAAATGGGATACCCACGCGCTAAAATCATGTCAAGTTCAGAATGCTGTGCACCGGAACGGAAGTGGACTTTATTCAATTATAGATTTGTTGAGTCATCAGTCATCACAGATAATGCTGTACAATTTGTTGTAATACAATAAAATTTGTATACAGTTTGATGTTAAATGTATGCGAACGATTAAATTCAGTAACTGCTAAAAATACAACTAGAACCGAAAAACAAAAAAGTGTTTCTGTTTTATTATTCTCAATTTAAATAGAAAATTGGTTAGGATTCGAACCCAGGATCCAAATATTAATATTCTTATCACTTATATATTATTTATATTTAAAAACGCTTCGTTTTCTTTTAAGAGCCGTTTGGTAGTAAATGTGGTGCATGAAAACCCCTTTTTTATCAAAATACCAGTTAAATCATTTATGAACTGTTAAAAGTTTTTTTTTCATTTCTAAGTTGTTGAATGAATAGTTTGTAGTATAAACTGTTTTCACATGCACGTCGAACACATAGACCACCCCACACATTCATCTAGTGCCACAACCACTGATAGGACAACGGATGGGATACAGCGAGCTCCACACCGCGTACACACTTGTACACCCGCGTGCCTGGGCGGTTCTCACCGCCCAGAACATCAAACGACACTAGTTAGCCTCCAGAGCCGGGGCCCGCTACCCCCAGTTCGGACGGACGTGAGATAACTCATCCACGTGCAATGTACACTGCCATAGGAGTCATCGTTACGCAAGTAACGATGCGGAATGATTTAAATTCACTTTTTACAGGCCGCGGCCTGAAGACGTATGAAACTGTAAAAACCAAAAGGCTAACAGCATTAACATCATCAGAAACCATGCACGTTGTATCTTCGATCAACAATTGTTGATAGAAATATGTAATGTATCGTTATAGAGAACGGAACATTTCTTAAATATATAGGGCATAAGAACTATCGTCTACGTATACTTAATGTTTTACTTGGTTGAGGCCATAAGTAAAAAAATAAAATAAACTAATAGACTTTTATCCGTTCCAATGTTGGGGAGATAATATTATTATTATAGTTCAACATATGGTCCCATAACTATCACTTGAAATTGCCAGTTATTACCTACTTCATTTGTATCGACAGGAATCGAACTTGGATTGTTCGCTTTTTTAATTTTAAAGTATTTTAAGGCGAGCGTTTATACCGGAGCTACTGCTGCTATCTAATACTTTTAACATAATATTCTAATAGTACAGTTGCAAAATACTTTTATACGAAAGAGACTCTTTCTTTTACAAGTCTTAAAGAGAGAATAATTCATTGTAAGATGCGGAATTTTTCGTTGTTTGTCGTTTTGTAGAATATAAAAATTTCGGGTTATTCCGTTTATTCATCCTAAGAAATCCACCCTAGGGTGGATACTCGGAATCGCGTGTTCATTTATTCACTCCAGATGGGGTACCCACCCCCGAATCTGTTAATTATTTTTCTTCCGATTTTCCCCCTCGGCTGTGGTACAGTCGTTTATAAAAACATGATAGAAACTGGCACAAGATTACTTAGTAGAAATTAGCACACTTATAAACATACATACAATAAATTAAATAAATAAACTACTCGAAACAAAATAGGGCCCACTCTAAGTTAATCTCGAATTTTGTCTAAGAAAATTGTTGGATAGTAGAATAGTGAAGTTAAACATTTCGAAGTATTGTTGACATGTTTATCTAACGTTATCAATGTTTCAAGTCAGGAATTCAATGGTGGGTAGACAAAAAAGTGAAGTACTCCAAAAAACGTTTATTACTCAAATTCTCAGTCACTTGTACCCTCAGTCACATTCTGAATGTTACAGTCGCACGTCTACTTGTTTCATTTTGACTTGATTTCGGTGTTACTCGCGATCATTATGCCTGGTTCTCGGCGTCATATGGATGTGGAAACAGCAACAAGACCAGTGTTTATGCTTCAGCAGGGAGAATCTCAGAGATCAGTGGCAAGACGTCTTGGTGTGTCGCGACGAGCTATTCTAAACGCGTGGGAACGTTTTCTAGAGACAGGTAGTGTCGCCAGATCTAGATCAGAAAAAGCGCGAGCTACAACCGTCCAGGAAGACCGGTATATCAGATTGACTGCACGTCGAGAGCGTACGATTCCCGCCCGCGTCTTACAAAATCGACTGCGGCAATCGACTGGCACACAATTTAGTGATCAAACCATTCGAAATCGGCTCCATGAAGACGGACAACGTTTCAGATCTCGTGTTATTCGTCTAAAATTGAGAAGAGCGTATCGTGCAGCACGTTTGAGGTTTGCTCACGAGCATGCGGAGTTGACAATGGACAACTGGAGAAATGTACTCTCTACGGACGAAAGTAAAGTGAAGTTTTTCAGCGATGATCGTCGAGTGCGCGTGTGGAGAAGAGAAGGAGAACGCTTTTCAGAACCTTGCATACATGAAACGAATCGTTTTGGAGGTCTAAATGTTATGGTGTGGGCTGGAATAAGCTTGCTCGGTAAAACTGAGCTGGTAATTCTAGAAGAAGCTCGCCCACATACAGCGCGAACAACCCAGAGAGCTCTCTCTGAAGCCAATATTACGGTTTTACCGTGGCCGGCCATGAGTCCCGATCTTAACCCCATTGAACATTTATGGGGCCAATTGAAAAGAAGCCGCAAATCGAACTTCAGTAATGTGAATAATCGACAAGAGCTCATAAATGCCCTAAAATTGTGTTGGGAGCGAATACCCGAGGAAAACATCACCCATTTGATTTAAAGTTCCCAAATAGATTAAGAGAGTGCATATGGAACAGAGGAGGACCTACTCGCTATTAAGCACCATCAAACTCATTGATTTAGTCAATAATAAAAATCAAAATCAAACTTTAGTTAAATCAATAATTTCTGTAAACTTTCTTAAAAACTGTAAATTTTGACTAAATTTCATAAAATTGGCAAAACTTACTCTTGTTAATGTTCACACACTTAAAAAACCTTAGTTTATTAATTCCTAATCAAAAAAAAAAAAACTAAAAAAAGTAAAAGAATCTGTAAAATTCATTTATAAAACATGGTGGGCCCTATTTTGTTTTGAGTAGTTTATATTGTTAATTATATAAACACAGTATAGAAAAAAGTACGGTACTTAACAAATTTTAAAATGTATATTATTGAGATACGAATTTATACAAGATATACAATTACGTATACTCAGTAATGAAATTAGTGTTGGTTATTTCCTGGACATATTGCAGAATTTATAAATTACTTATTATTATTTAAAACAAGGAAGTTTAATTTGGTTTAAATGCAATACGTAATATGATTTTTGTTTAAGTTTGTGGTTATTAAAAATTAGTTAATATGTTAAAGTGGGAATATATTTTCTATTGAACTGTGTACCGTGGGGTGGAAAGGTGGAACAACAATCAAAAAGTGAATTCCGATTATCCGCCCCGTCTAGGGTGGATAAACGAACACGCGTTTCCGAGTATCCATTTTAGGGTGAATTTCTTATGGTGGATAAACGGAATATCCCAAAATTTCTTTATTAAGTAATTTTTAAGATTATGCTGAAATCCTACATGTATCGTTGAGCCCCAGTCTATCCTAATATGTGAAAGCATCATAACTTTTGCAATTTCAGATCGAATTAAATGTTTATTCTAGACTATATTATTTAATGTGATTCAATTTGAAGATGATAATGTTTTTTATTTCTAACAAACATCAAAGTGGCATTTAGTATAGAAAATATTTTGTACACCAACAATAATATAACAGTATCAGGGCGACCGAGCCTCATTCGGCGTTAGAAAAAATAAATTTCTCGGCGATGACACCATCAATATAAATCAACTTGGTCAGTAAATTATCTAAATAAAAGATTTCACTCCAATCTCTAGAGCCGTTTTCGAGAAATCCAATCTATTACAAAATTTACACGAATTGCTCACTTTAAGTACAAGATACATAATCAACACATTTTTTCTTTTTCTTATAGTAAGCCAGTACTTGACTACAATCGCACCTGGTGGTAAATGGTGGTGAAGGTCTAGATAGTAAAGGAGTATATCGCATTGTCTTGACGACACCCAGCTTTCGTGGGCAAATAATATAAAATAAGCTATACTAATTACAACTGCAATGGCCAGGTTTTCTTTCCCCGCATATTATAATAGTTGAATATCCATCCACTATGTATAGTGATGGAACCTTTGATGTAGGTAATCTCTCAACTGTGTTATAATCAAGTTATAACATTATGTTTAACGTTGGTCTCTGTTACAGGGGGCGGTTTGAGTAATGGCGTTATCCTTCAACGATTTCCTGAGACTAATTGGGACGACACCCCCTTCCACGAAGGGATTGAATGGGTAAGCATTTATATTTTAACATTTTATTTCATTACATATGATCCTCTAATAGTGTGCGTTAATATTAGCATAGAATAGATAATAGTACAAGTAGTATTAGCAAGAAATCTCGAGATTTAAATTAGATTTCTATGCAGTTTTTATTCCATATTCGTCAATTTATTATGCTACCATCTATTAACTACCATCCTCTTCGTTGAATCACAGAACTTAATCAATTTAAGCAAAGAGTAGAATGCCAGTGGGACTAGGGATGCCAGATTGGAAAATCAAAATATCTGAACAAAATTTGAAAATGACGGGTTTTTGGGGTTGTTTTTCGGGAGAAATAAATATTAAAAATGTAAAATATTTATTTTTATTTTTGATTAATAGGCTACAAAAATGCTTAATATTGTTAACACATAACTAACTTAAGAATACTTGTTTTTTAGATTAGCAGTAGTATTCAGAAAATATTTAAAATTCAAACAATTTACTTCAAAGTTCAGTCTAATTACTAACTCAGCTTTTATTAAATGAAAAGCAACTGTTATGTGAAGAGAAGCTGTTTGTCACTAGAGATTTAGAGTTTTGTCGGGAGTCTGGAGATTATTTAAAATTTCGGGGGAATCCAGACGAATGCCGACCATCTGGGAATCCCCGGTGGGACACATACTAAGTAAAAAGCTTATTACAATTCTTTTATTAACAGCAACATTGTTAACCCAAAGAAATTGTGGTCAAATCTGAAGGCATACTCTTTACCGCCAAAAAATGATGCAGAATTACCTTCTAAATTAATGGTGCCTGACTTAATTAATGCTCACTGGGTGCGTTTGGCAGAAAAAAGCGCTAGCAAGCGCTTGTAAGCAAAATGGCGATCGTAAGCGGTAAGCGCTGTCAAATCGTAAGTAGCTATTTTCCTCCAGGACACGATGTTAGTTTTAACCGGGGAATCTAACCTAATTTAAATATATGTTTGTAAAGTATTCATATTAAAAACTTACCAATCATGAATTTTTAATAACATGTATATGTCTATTCATGTCATTATATTACTTAAAACTAATATTGCACAAAACAACTTATAAACTCTACTTTAAAACAAACAAATTAAATAAGCAAAATGGCGGATTGTGTCAGCGCTACTGAAGTAGCAATCGTGTCCTGGCCGAAAACTATTTTAGCGCTTGTAAGCGCTTGCTAGCGCTTTTTTCTGCCAAACGCACCCATTATCTTAATACTCCAGGGACTAATAATGTGACAATATCGGACCTAACGTATTTTGAATTTGATAGATTCAGCTCTGGGAATTTTTTACTTAAAACGGTTTCGTCAGATGATATTTCAAAAATAATAAGAACACTTAAATCTAATGCACAAGGAGTAGATGGTATTACACTTATACTAATATGTTATTGATGACTCTCCCACAAAGCTTGGATACTATTACTGCCCTTGTCAACCAGTCAATTAGTAACAACATATTCCCCGAAATCTGGAAAAGAGCCCTAATACTTCCTATACCTAAGAAAGGGAATCCTGATGATTTAAAAGATTTAAGGCCCATAAGCTTACTACCATGCTTACCGAAAATTCTTGAGAAAGTGGTATATCAGCAAGTAACAGCTTATCTTGAAGACAATTGCATTCTACCTGATCTTCAATCAGGTTTCAGAAAGGGGAGAAGCACTGCAACTGCACTTTCTGATGTAGTCGGCAATATATTGGAGGCTCAAGATATAGGTCAAGGAACTGTGCTTGTCCTATTGGACTATTCTAGGGCATTTGATACAATAAACACGACTTTACTTTTATCTAAAATGGCATATTACGGTTTTGATCCCAAGACAATAAAATGGTTCAGCAGTTATCTCAGCTGGCGGTCACAACAAATAATACTGAAAAAAGAAAATGGCCAAAACTACATATCATCTCCTCAGCATATTACAGGAGGTGTTCCCCAAGGATCGATTCTGGGCCTTGTGCTGTTTTCTTTGTGTACTTCGGATATTACCGTTTGCTTTAAAAATTGTAAATACCATATATATGCAGACGATACTCAAGTTTATACCTCTTTCAAGCCCATGAATACTTTGGAAGCTATACGGGGCCTCAATGAAGATCTCGATAGAGTACTGCAGTGATCAGAAAAAAATTCCCTGGTGTTGAATGCGTCAAAGACGAAGTTTTTAATTTGTGGTACTAAACAACAAATAGAAAAAATAAATTATTACAATCCAAAAGTATACTTAAAAGAAACTATTTTAGAAAGAGTGGAAAAGACCCATAATCTAGGAGTTATAATTAGCCCTGATCTCAGATTCGAAGAATACATTGCTGGTGTTGTTAGGAACTGCTTCTATCGGTTAAAAATCTTGTACAGGATACGTGAATATCTGAGTATTGAACTGCGTAAGAGGTTATCTGACGCACTTGTATTATCAAAACTTAATTATGCTGACACTGTCTACGGGCCATGTCTGTTGGCACGCACCGCAAACCTTATTCAACGAGTCCAAAATGCTTGTGCAAGGTTTTGTTTTGATGTGCCATCAAGAGGTCATGCAAGCCCATTCCTTAATGATAATAACATCCTTAAGATGGCCGCAAGATGCAAACTTCACTTTGCTTGTGCTCTATTCGGTGTTTTGAAAACAAAAACTCCAATGTATCTGTACTCTAAACTAGACTGGTGTCACGAACACAATAAGTATCTCACGCGTGTTTTCTCTCGCATATTAAGTGTCCCTCGACATAGTTCCTCGGCCTTCAGAGGAAGTTACAAATATACAGCCACCCACTGCTGGAATAATATACCTCCACGTACTCTAAAGACATTAGGGAATTTCAAAATACACTTAAAGAAATTTTTACTAAGCGAACAGAAGGGATTATAAATAATTGATCGTGCTTTATTTAAGAATGAACTATTTAATTAGTATTTCTAATCATACATTTAATGATTACTAAGTATTTATTATCCTCTATATATATTTATACATATTTGTCTATATTTCTGTCATTCTAATATATAAATATATATACATATATTTATCAAAAACTTTTTAGTAAAACGTTGAGACACTGCAGACTACCGTCTACGGCACATCTCACATAAGGTATTGAAATATTGAATACAGATTTAAGAAAGAAAAAAAAATACTCGCTCGCATAAAGTTTGACCGTTCGAACTTGTTCGGGGTCGTCTGAAAATCAGCGCTGCGAGCTCGCGGCTTATGCTGAGATGGTCCCTTCCACCACCTTCATCGTAGCACATTGCATGCACATATTATAATCGACGCTTTTCTTTTCTTTAGTCTAATTTTCTGTTTTTTTTTGTTAATAATAAGTCACTTGTTTTATTTATTTTTTAATTGTAATTTGTCATGTGTAAGTGTAGTGTTGTAGATGTAAGTGTTGGAATAAATGTCTTTTATGTCTTTAAGTAGTAGTTCAGATGGTGACGTAAAGATTAAGGACTTTTTATTTCTTTATCGTGTCTTGGACGAGGGTAGCACTGGAGCAGCGCTGCGAAATAATTGCTCCATGAAACTAAAAAGCCTGTGCCCAGCCGTGGGACGTAAACAATCTGTAATTTTACTTTCGTTCAATATTTATTTATTTATTTTATAGAATATGGATGACAAACGAGCACAAAGTCCACCTACCTGATGGTAAGTGGATGCTATGGCCCATAGACATCTACATCTCATCTTCAATTATGCATCAAAATGCAGAAGCGTTGTCACCCTAGACGACTAAGCTGAAATGCCTCACTTCCAGTAAAAGTTCCAGTAAGAGTATTAAGGGTCTCCGGATCTCTACACTCAACATACAAAACACAGCAGCATTAATTAGCTTTTTTGCGTTGGTATTGTGTGAGAGTGTTGTATTTACCCAGTTGACCCGACCCATTCGTGCTACAACCATAATATAGCTGTAGCGTGGCTCTATCACGTATAATATAATCTAACCGTGTTTCGTCTCAGTTCTGTCAACCACAAGGATGGGCGCTATCGACGGAGCGCTCGGAGCCGCGCTTCTACGTGTCGGTTCTGACCGACGTGGACGCCAACCGGCACTACTGCGCCTGTCTATGCTTCAACGAGACCGTCGCTATCACGCCCACGAAGCCCGCCGACGAGGTAAGTGACGTCATAGACATTACAGTTCGAAGTTATTGTAGATAGAAGGAAATCTTTGTAAACAATGATCTTTTGTACACTCAAAATGCTCACTAAATATCATAGACTTTAAGTAAGTTATCATAGATAAAGAGGGATAATAAACATACAAATGACTTCTAATTGTTTTAATACTCGTATTTTACTCTAACTTATCTAAGATCATGAAAAATGTAGTTATTTTTCTTTGACAACTACTGTCTGTCTTTATACTATAGGGATTGGTAGTAAGAAAACTTGAAGAAAATGTTAGGATACACACGTTTTTATAACAATACTTTACCAAGTTGCATGTGCCTAGACTGTTATTTTTCAAACCTTTTGGTATGTCATTCGTTATCCCAATCGACGCAAGCTTTTGATGTAAGAAAGGGCTTTAAATAATCTAAGACAAGGTATACACCAACATTTTGGATTTTCTGACGACTGACACATAGCAGAAAATCTATTTAATTATGTTATGTTGTACCTAAACTGTGTGGTTGCGGAATAACAGAATCTGTATGTAGGGTTATTATATTATCATCCCGTGGGTGTCTTCAGAAGCGACAAAGGGAAGTGTAACAGAAGTTAAAGAAGATAGTTATAACGCCATCTGTCGGAACCAAAGTATTTTGGTTCCGACAGATGGCGGTTCCCACTTCCTATAGTCGCTTCTTACGACGTCCGCGTTCCGAAATGGGTTGAAGATTTCAACATGTCTTTCTTAATTTAGGTTGTACTTTATATTTTAATGATAGCGACGCTTGCTATCTGCTAACATAGTGCAAGCTTGTGTTGGGTGTCATTAATGTCGATTCGCTGGATTAATAAAATAAAGAAAAATAACGATTCAGTCTGTCGACTTTGAATTAGAATGCCATTGTGATTGTGATTCAACGGGCAGTCGAATGTGACCGAGTCAGCAAAGTGTCGCCGCGTTTCCGTCAGATAATAGTGCGATTGTGCGTCACATACGTACTCGTACTTGGGCTTTGCGGCCAAGGACGGGTTATATACAGAGAAACAATGAAACAGTGGGCTTTTATCTTCCTTATTTGTTAATATACTATGAGTATTTTAAAAATACATAACTGCCATATTAAAAATTTAAATAAAGCTTACATTCTTCATACGTCCCACAGGATTTATTCTGAGAGGGATATAGACATTTTCGCCACGCCATTAGGACAGTAATGCGTGGTAGCGGACTTCACATATCTTCGTGATTTTTTTAAAATTTTCAGACATCCAAGTTTCCTTTTTTCTTTTTATACGTGATAGAGCCATGCTGCAGTTATATTAGTAGTAAAGTTGTAGCACGAATGGCTCGGCTCGACCGGGGAAGGACCTCGCTCTCACAGAATACCAGAGTAAAATAGTAGCTTAATGCTGCTGTGTTTCGTATGGTGAGTGTAGAGAACCGGATACCCTTTTTACTGGAAACGAGACATTCCATCCTAGGGGGGGAGGGGGTGCTTCGGGTGGCAACGCATCTGCATTTTGATTCGTAATCGAGGATAGATGTAGATGTCTAAGTGCCACAGCAACCACTTACCATCAGGTGGACTGTGTGTTCCTTTGTCCTCCTATGCTATAAAAAATCCTCACGATGTTTTAATTTACTGCAATACATAAATATCAATAGTAAAATCTATTGTATACTGTATAAAATGTTATGATATCTAAAATACTAGAAGTAAAGACGTTAAATATGGCACGTTGGTATTCATTTTCCTTGGGTTGTATCTAATTAGAATTATTGATATTTCATAACAAATACTGGTTCGGTGGAACTCGAAATTAAGATCTGTTAACTCCCTAGCTGAACCTAGCTAGGTTCTTTAGTGTAGATTTTAAGTGTGGAGCGTGCAGCGGGCGGGCCTCTTGGTCTGCATGACAAACATGCTCTCGTACTACAGTTTTTTGAGTAGCGGTTACTCGAAATGTGTATCAAAAGCACCGCTACTCCACACGCTCCACCGAGCGATCTCCATGCAGCCCAGTGCAGCTTGACGTCGTATGAGTGTACAAATATATGCTGCATTCCCTACCAAACGTTCCTTTATTTTTTATGTAATCGGGTGACAAACGAGCACACAGTCCACCTGATGCTAGGTGGATGCTGCGGCCCATCGACAACTACATCGATTAGGAATCAAAACGCAGATGCGTTGTCACCCGTGAGGGCTAAGCTGAAACGCCTCGTGTCCAGTAAAATGAATCTCAAGACATCTCTACACTTACCATACGAAACACAGCAGCAATACGCTGCTATTTTACGCTGATATTCTGTGAGAACGTGGTCCTTCACCGGTCGCGTTGGTCCATTCATGCTATAACCATAACAGCTGCAGCATAGCTCTACCACGTATAAACTGTGTTCTTATTCATATAAGAGATACACTGTGTTCTTATTTATATAATTGGATTGGATCCGTTCGAGGTACAACCATAATATAGCTACAGTATGGCTCTACCACGTTAACTATCGATTCATAATTCGAATTCATAATCCAATTCAAAAGTGGTCGCCGTGGTCGAAATTGGTTATCATCGGAAAATTAAAAAATATTGTAATTAATAAATAAACTAATATTGAATACATAACTTCATAAAGCTTGCTTAGTGTTTCTATGTACGTACCTAAAGCTGCAATTACAGTATGGTATTTTTTTTCTACTTGCCTTAATCTATGTCTGTTCCATTCCATTTAATACGATAAATAGCGTAACTGGAATAGCGGAGGTTCTTATTGTGATTTTTAGTATTAATTAATAAATGTGTTGGAGTCTGTTGTTTATCGGACTGCATGTTAAATTTTAATGTAATCTACATTCATTCTAAGTAACCAACCACTCATCCATCCATCTCTCCCTCCATTGCAGCCTATAAAATTCACAGTTACAAGATCCACTGTAGAGAACCGGAGAATCTTATTCCTCGGGGGTGATAAAGAATTTGCATTTTGATTCTTATTTGAGGATAGATATAGATGATTATGAACCACAGCATCAAGTTAACATCACGTAGGTTGTGTACTCGTTTTCCATCTTTATGTATAAAAAAAAACTAAATAGCTCTCGAATTTCTTGGGCAAACAGTTACCAACATCTAAATCTGTTCGGATAGTGCTTTAATTTTAGACAGTTATTTTAGTTTTTATTGGTCTGCCGGAAGTTTTCTATTCAAACATAGCAATGTTCGGCTACGAGTGATTTATATAACGTTGGATGGTCGAATCGTCAAATATTTCGCTGCTAAATTTACAACTTTACATTGGGCTATTAACTTACAAGAGAGAAGAATTCAATTTTTTTTTTGATAAACATCGGCTAAGACATAGAAATGCATTTAAGTGTTATTAGATATATATGTTGATTTGGCATCAATACACCAACATAGTACATACATTTTGAAGTAGACAGAAAACATACAAGAAACAAATAATAAATAAATATCAATAAGAGAATTACTTTTCGTGAGGAAAGTGCTATGTTCAGCAGTGGACTTGTGAAGGGCTGTAAGGATGATAATGGTGAGTAATGTCATGCCAAAAAAGACTCCGACTCAGCGTATGCAGATACTGCAGCAGCGCTCATTTTCAGCGGAGCCCTGATTAATATCGCCTGCGTCGTGATCACTGGTATTATTATTTCACAAAATATGACCACATTTCTTGAAATATTTTCATGAGACTGCTGAAATTGGGGTCCCCAAAGAGCGCACACTAATTTACAATTTGTGGATAAATAAATGTGAATAATCCATTACCCCATTTCGCCTCGTGGGTGTAGTAATGGGCGACATGGTAAAGACGAGGTCACCGTTAAATGGCGGCATAACCATCCTGTTTGCGCCAGGCATAAATATGTGGTTATGGTGCGTGCCGTCCGTACTGCGATCGCCAATCGCTCTGCTAAGCGAAGCGATGAGAGCATATCCTCCCTACTAGAGGACAGGGCCATTGAATAAAATTAAATTTACGGATTTTATCGCGTTTATTTAACTGATTTTACTTATTTTCAATTCCCGACGTTTCGGGTGCTTTACAGCACCCATGGTCACGGGGAGACTGAGATGTTTGACGTCCGAATGTCATAGTTAGCCCGACTACCTTCAGTTTTTTAATATTAATTTTTCGGTCCGATTTACGCAAAACGAGCTTACAGTATCTTGAAGTCTTGCAGTGGTATGCTTGGCTTTGGGTTTAATTTTGTTAATTATGGGATCCCAAGCAGATGGCAGCACCCAACCATCTTCTCTATTGAAATTAGGATGTTTTTAATTTCAATAGCCTCGCGTATCATCCTTGGTAGGAATCGGTGTTCTTTTGCGAGGATTTGTGGTTTATCAAATCTGATGTAATGGTGGGGACGATCTCGAACATGTTCACACCTTCAGAGACTGCAGACTTCCCGGAGCGTCGGTGCTTCACGTTCATTTTCAGCACTTTTACAAATCAACGATAAAGGAAAAGAAGAAATAAAATATTAAGTATACTATAAAGTAGATTCTTATAAATAAGATTACTATATGATCGTGTTCTAAAAACTAGTGATACAACAAATACTACTTTTACGAATACGAATATCAAACCTACTATTTGACGAATACGAATATCTTGCCATGGTAATGAAAAATTAATTAGTTTAATGATTTTCTATTGTTCTAATAATTTAAATTTACAACAGGCAATTTTTTATTTAAAAAACAAAATTTGTAGATTTTCTGGTTTTAGGCGATTTTTTTTATCAGTCTGGATTTTCCTAGACGTTAAAAAAAGTCTTTCCGAGGGGACTGTACATGGTTTCAGTGAAAAATATTTTTGGGCGAGTTTTTTCAGCCTTAGAAAATGGACATCTTCTCGCCAAATAAAAGGCCAATGGGTCAGAGGCAAGATTTAAGACTTCGTATCATTATGATTACTTGAGATAATTTTGTTGATTAGCTCTTTCGTGGCTTCTAAATAATTGGAAAGA